CTATGTTGAAAAATACTGTTCCATAGCTTAGAATTTGCTCTATTTAATAGTGTTATTGTGCTCTCTGTATCTGTTGCAGTTCCCATGGAAATAAATAGGAGGTATTACTTTCAGTGCTACCTACATATATATGCATGTATGTATATACACTGACAATTCCCTAACGGCAAATCCAATGCCTACCAGCACATTGCTGAGTACAAAAGAAAAACATACAGAAACAGCACAATAGTAGCCTCTGACGATGGAAAAGTAAAGGCACAGCAAAACAGTATGAGTTGAGTTGCTCAAAGTCCTCAGAAATTTTCACAGCAGAAAAAGAAACTGAGTACAAGTTGAGCAATTGGTTTGTCAAATGGCGCTCTCTATACATTCTGGAGTTTCATAGACCCACATAGCATTTTAAGATAGCTGGTCAGGTCAGCACAGATCAATTATACAGAAGAGGGACAGTGCAGAACTCTGGAAACAACACTGTCCATTAAGAATGCCCTGCTTCTCCTATGTAGTTTTAAGTAGCCACTCTAGAGGTGCAGAGAATCAAGCTGTAGGGAGGCAACACACAGTGGCCAGTCTCTGAAAAGCCACTGGCAGTCTGTTAGGTAGTAAGCAGTCCATATGATGTTTGGTAGACGCACAGAGGTGGTCACACTATGCATGCTAAGGCTCACCAGTGGAACAGTGTGCCCTCCATGTATAAGTAAGGCAGAGTCACTACACCCCTAAGGAAGGTAGAAAATGGGTAATGAATGTTGTGAGGTTTTTGCCAACATTTTAACCAGACATTTCAGATCAGCATCATCACTGTAACCAAACATCTGGTATTTAGAGCATTGCTTGCTTGCTTTTATCCACTTAGACAAGTGGGAACAGTTTTTTGTCACATTATACATTCACGTGGGGTCGATGGTCCCCAAACAATGCAGTAGGTGTAGTGATAGTATGACAGGATTTTTCTGGGTAACAATGTACACCAGTCAGGTCAGTTCAGTACAGCAACTTTATTAGAGAAGTCTACTAAGGTATTAACTCAATTGTTTAGCAACATGTATTACACAGTAGTTACCTGCAAAAGGGAATCATTATTCCACAGTGATGTTAATTACATCCTTGGCTTACCTTCCAAGTGCCAAAGAGTCACTCAGTGCCAGGGAAGCTTCCTTAGCAGGCAATCTGAGCTCAGGGCTCAGAACTTCCAGCCCAGAACCCTATGGCAGGAGCGCTTCAAGGGACTCAGTGTATCAGCCTGCTCTTACCTAGTGCCTGCTGTCTTCAGCCAAGTGCTTTACAACATTACACACACAGTTTTACATCTGCTAAAACCATATCTTGTGCAAAAATGAAGGCAGTTTTCACCACATACATCACAATACCAACTAAACACTGACTATAGTTATAACACAGTGAAACCTCTGGCAGTCCAATAGCCACAGGATGTCTTGTCTCTCCACATCAGGTCTGCTGGAGAAAAAGAAATTTAAGCAGCTCAATGAGACACAAGCTGTCTTACAGTGTAACTAAGGGAGGGATGCCAAGCAGTTTAAAATCAACCTTTCTTTTTGAGACCCTGACATTTGCCAATGGATACGATCGTATTTAAAAGGCTTTTCAGCTTGCATAAGGTGAAATGTGATAAAGGGCTGGGACACCCAAGCCTTAGAGCCAGAAGTTGTTCCAAATCCTCTAGATTTAACCCATTCCTTTGTAGAGCTCTGGACAAAAGACCGTGGTCATGACGAACCACTTTTCCTCATCAGTTGTGGCACTGTAAAAAAAAAACTCTGGCCCTGTGACTTTTTCTTTAATACACCTCTATTTGTCAATGTTCAACACATCTTTTCATTAAGAAGAATCAAAATTATATATAGTCAAGAAGCTGTAATAATGATGGACACAGAAACATCTGAACAAGGTGAAAATCATCACTTATCACCCTTTGACTTATCCAATCACTTTCAACAATATCATCAACACAAATGTCCACCAACAATGCAGAAAACAACCATTCGCCTCTATTACTCCCTCATAAACCCCACTGATGTTAAAATAAGATAACTTGTGTGTACAGATGGAAGAATAAGAAAAAGGGAAATGGCCACAATTTAGTATGCTGTAAGATTCCTCCAATGCTTGGAAGTGATATTTTTTGGTTGTATAAGCAATACTTAAAAGATGCAAGCATTTACTGAATTTCAAGAGTCAAGTTTAGCTTCTTTGCTAGATGTTCATTAACTGCCAAGAAAATTTTTAAAGCACAATGAACGTACTCATGCAGAATTGCTTTATTTGACGCAAACTTCATTTCTTGCAAGGCTGCGTATTCCCTCATCTTATGAAGCAGCATTCAAAGATCCCAGTATCTTTTCCACCAAAGCAGATCTTAAGATATAGAAGAGATCCTATCCCTCTGCCCTGACCAAAATACCAACCCCAGTGTCATATTACTGGAGCCTTAAAGTCACCATTTCTACCATGCTTCACATTACACCTGCTTCAGATGGCAACATACTACATGAAAAATGTTTGCTGACTCACCTCCCCGTTCTGCTGGCAGATTCAAATCACACAACACAACATATGATACACAGAGCAGAAGCCAGTGATTCTTATGTTAAAAGGCAGCATAAGCCATAAATGGTGGCAGCAGCCTTTTCCCTTCCTTATGTGGTTTCCAGCTCTATTTACTGTACTTGATGAGCTAATAACTCACTTGAGACTCTGCTTAATAGAAGGGAATATCCCATCTTTCCACCCCATCCCCCAATTAAATAAATAAATACAGAATGCTCTAAGCTTTCTCCACGACAGAACAGCCTGGGAGAGCTTCACTGATGCCAAATGACTGAAGGATACGTGCAGTCAGAATCTGTTTCTGCAACTAGCAGTGGGATTCTGCAGATCGGTCCCTGTTGAAACACAGGGCTTTGCCATTCTGGTGTTAGAGGAAGCACAGATTCTTACTCATCTCTGCACAGTAACGCTGCTCTCATGGATAGCAGTTTCAGAGAGAAACCTGACACATTCAGCAAGACAAACCTCACAAACACACAATTTCAGATACATTAAGGGTGTTAGAAATCACTGTCACTCCCCAAGAGTGCTCCCATTACATCCAAAACTGCAGCTGACAAGAATAATTCAGTGCATGAGGAAGTGCACCTATTTTCTCACTGCAACTGTACCTACTTTTCTAGTTGCACCAGTGGCGCAAAGCAAACCCAGTGGCACTGCTGCAACAGCCTCATGCCCTTCATTTCTCCAACAGCTCAGGAAAACAGAAGCAGAGCACCTGAACACTCAAACAAGGCTACAGTCAACACCCTCAGCCACAATACAGCCCCACCTACATGAATTTTATTTACCAGACAGACTGAAGCAGAAAAAACAGCAAGTCACCAAAGGTAACAGGAAGAGAGGACAGGAAGACTGAAGAATTCCTGGTGAGAGGAAAAGTATGCAGAAGTTATACATGCTGCTCATGAGCAAGGTACTGAGACTGAAAAACCTGCAGCAGCAGAGTGCAAGGGGATTGGATCATTACTTATCTCTCATAACAGCACAAGCCAATTGTTTTGGAAGGAAATTAGGTTTCTGGTAGCCTCCTTTGGGCAACATTTGAATAAGAACACTGTTGCTGACCTCGAGAGAACACTGGGATCCCTGTCTCAGTGACCACCAGCAGCCTATCTTTGGTGTTGTCTTGGCAGAGGACATTAATATGAATGACATTTGAAGGGAGGCACTTTTGGAGTTGCTGCCATTCATGCAGCTTTACTGCTACATGCACAGGATCAGATTCTGTGCACAACTACACGTATCTTACCACTAAGAGAATCATCATATTACTTTACAATGCTCATTCAAGAAAAGCAAATTATATTTCTTAAATATATATATATATAAATATATATATATTTCCCCCAGGAGTTTTCTTTCAAATATATTACTTTATTTGGAGATCTTTCCACTGATAGATTGCCACTGACTTACTTCATCCATGAACGCAGGACACTGAACTTCTGGTAGATAAGCGAGAAGACTTTTTCAACGTGGGGGTTAAAATTCTTCTTCTGTTTTAAAGTCTCATTCACATTCAGTGTGAAACTGAAACACATGAAACCCCAGGCCATTTTGACCATTCTCCTAAGAGATTCCCATCTTGTGATAAGCAGAGAAGCTCTTGGGAATACTGGTCCTATGGGAGAGAGCACAGCACTGCAAACACTTCTTTTCTGACTTAGCAACCGGCTTCTGCTCACAAGTCCAAGGCATTCCTCATTTCTTAACCTTGCAAATAATGGCAAAGCTGGAGCTTAAGTGTGCCACAACTCAGTCAATTACTTTCCTAGCTCCCCCAGATGTCTCACTACAGTATTAGCCATAGGTCTCTCATATTCCCAATTTCCATAAATATACAGACAACTTCTGTTTTTCATTACATAATGATCTTCCTGCTGATGCAGGTACACAGACTGCCGATACGTTTATGAAGTGGGATTAACTCCTCCCTTCCCAGGACCACGGGGATCAGCAGTCTTGTCACAGCACACCACCGTACTGCCCTGCCTACCTTATTCCGGTGCCTGGAAAGAAAAAGAAGCGCCAGACTTCAAAGATAATTTATTTCAACAAACATCCTGTAACGCAATGCTTTTACAGTAATTGTTGCAAGCACTACACCTTATTCAAACATTCAGATACATCTCAGCCGCACTCAGAGGAAGGAGAGAGATGCAACAGGCACTCCCTGCCCATCCGCACGAAGCTGCTGCCCCGCCGGCATCCAAACCCCACTGCCCGCCGGGCTGCAGCCGGCCCAGCGGCCCACCCTGCCCCGGGGCCCCTTCAAGCCGGGGGAAGGCTTAAAACCCCGATGGGGGCACGGAGCGAGCGAGGCGCTGCTCGGCTTCCCCCGGCAGGCGCCGCGCCCGAGCCCGCAGCCCCACTGGAGCGGGGGAGAAAGAGGAGAGAGAGGGCGGCTCTGGCACCGCAGCGTTTACCCTCCATCTCGTCTTCGTGGTGGAGCCGCCGCCTCTGCTCGCGCGGACCGGAGATGAGGGAAGGCACTACCGACTATAGCCGCTCCCCCGTCGAGCTGTCCTGTGCCGCGTTGCGATCGAGACCGAGCCTTCGCCCCGCACGCCCTCAGACGCCCAGCCCTGCCCGTCAGACCTCGCCGCTCCCCCCGGGCCGCCTATTAATACCCTCGGCGCCGCAGGCCCGCCGCCAGCCGCCGCCTCCTCCGGATGGGGGCAAAATGGCGGTGGGGCAGCGGCCCTCAGCAGTGGCTTTGGCGCCAGGCACCTGTTTTCCGCCTGGGAGCTGAGCGGTGGCAGAGGCTGCCCTGGTTTGCTCACAGGGAGCTTTGCTATGTTCATTTATTCTTTTTTTAATTAAATGTAGAGCTAGGCGGTAGAATCACTGAGGTTGGAAGAGACCGCCAAAATCACCGGGTCCAACCATCAACCCACCTGCTAACTACGTCCCTCAGTGCCACATCCACATGGTTCTTGAACGCCTCCAGGGATGGCAACTGCACCACTCTTCTGGAGAATAAACACTTCCTAATATCCAACCTGAACCTCCTCTGGCACAAGTTCTAGCCATTCCCTCTCATCCCATCACTGTTACCTGGGAGCAGAGGCTGACCCCCACCTCAGCACAGCTTCCTTTCAGGCAGCTGTAGAGAGCATCAGGTCTCCCCTGAGCCTCCTCTTCTCCAGACTGAACAATCCCAGCTCCCTCAGCTGCTCCCCATAAGACTTGTGCTCCAGGCCCCTCACAGCTTCATTGCTCCTCCATTTTGATGGTTGGACCTTTCCACCCAAAGTAGAAAGGCTCTGCTGCAGCAGCCACATCTAGCTAGAATCAGCATAAAAAGCACTTCAATTTGATTTTAGGAATCACAGTGCAATTAAAACATTGCGATCAGGCTTAGGCCTTCATGAGATGACTGTCCTGTGGCAGCTCACATTAGAGAGGCTGCAGCAGGTTAATGGAAGGAGTCATTAACATCCATGAGCTCTCCTTCTTCCTAAAGGAAGGAGACTGCTGCTGCTTGTGACCAAATTCTCAAAAGTCTGGCTTCAAAAGAGGCAGCCTTCTGGCAGGTGAACAGTGGTGCTAACAGTCAGGATCTGCCAGGCTCCTGGCTTTTCTGCCAAACCCACACAATTGTGCTTGTGTGCCTCGGCTTATAGAGCCCTGGTGCGGCATCACCAGCCGGCAAAGGCTACTTCCAGGTCTCTGAGTGAACTGTGGCTGACCTCATTATCCCAGTTTATTCCAGGACACCAATGCCATTCAATGCTACACACGTGTTCCTAATTCTATTCCCTTTATTTTCTCATAACTGCTGCCTTAAGAAAAAATAAATAAATAAAATTCTTTTTTACCGTTGTTAGTGCTGTTGCTACAGCAAAGTCTAAACGTATCCCAAAATTAACTACCGGAGGCCCCCCACAGCTCATTTTCCATTAAAATTCAGGCCTGATTAAAGTTTGGCAAAGATTTTTTGGAAGCTACTGAAATATTCAGGTGTGAATTAAACATTTATTCACATATAGTATCCTCATTTTCCTTGTTTGTGAGGATACAAATTGTCTAGCTTCAACTGCAGCATGTACTAAGTCATTAATAACTTCAACAAGGTAATTTTGTAGTCCTATAGATATCCTTCACTGTAAGAGATAAGTGTTCAGACTTCACTGTGATAGATAAAAATGGTAGATATCACTAAATTAAAAATTAGTAGTTGCCTGGGAACAAGTGTTCATGGCCTGATTGTATTCAATGTGGGAAAATGAAGAACAGCCCCAATCAAAACTATGCGTTTCTTCTGCTTCAGAAGAGCTAATTTCCTCAAGCTGAGGAAAGTACTGAGGAAAACAAGAAAGACAGGAGGAAAAAAAAAAAAAAGAACACTGAAAGAGGGGCTTTCTTAAGAGTCGCTAATAAAGGGCCAAAAGACTATGATTCTTCAATCACAGAAAGTAGTAACTTTCCCTTAAAAACACAAAGGTGGCATTCAGAAATAAAATGGAAAACAAAGAGAAATTATTTAAATAACACTTGATACAAATTACAAGTTACTATATCAAAAATTGATAAGGGGAGTTATTAGGCAAGGTAAATCTGTAGTTGAAACAGCTAAGGACATTTTAAGAGTGTTAGAAATAACAGAGAGCCCAATGTGATATTGGCCCATCAGTAAATATAGTTCCAGAATGGTTTTGTGCTGATGCAGGAATTGTAAATATGTTTAGTAAATACTTCACTACTACAACAGAAACAAGTGGTCAGTCTCATAGGGACTATGAAGAACTGCTCTAGCCTACTAGTAATTCAGAAAGATAGAAACCATGACCATTCCCGTACCACCAGCCTTGGATAGCTTTCGGTCCCCCCTTCCATGACAGGTGCTTGGGCTTTCATCTGCTGATGTTTTAGAATACTTTTGAAATTGCAAATGGGTGCTAATGTCAGAAAATGACAAAAGCATTGACAGCAAAATGTAGACCAGCATGAGTAGTTGATGTGAATAACAGATTTAATTCAAAAAGATTTCCAATAAAGGAATAGAAATAATTCCAGTCTTTTTTATGAAGACTGGGTCTCATCAAACTTCTCTAAATTTATTCTTTGGTGAGACTGCTCATTTGGCTAAGTGCATATTGATGTTTTTAGACTTTAATGATAGTCTGAAAGAAAAATGTAGTACCCCACGATATCATTAAAGCACATGCTAAATTGACTAAGATTTGTCTAAATGACTGATCACAAAATGTAGCTGACAGTATACAACCTTCATCAAACAGCTCTGTTTCTGAGAAAAGGCGATCGCATCAGAAAATGGCACTAAGATGACAGAAACGGCAAGGGTAATAAACGGCAAACTGGGTCTTATCCAACAAAATACATCTGTGCTAAGCAAATCCCTGTAATGAGTATGAAGGATTGTAGGTGCTGCGTACTGAAGGGAGACTACACTTACTGAAAATGATTTAGGAGTTGTAGTCACCAGCTCCTCACTGTTGGTGTAAATCCTCACTGACGGTGTTTCAAGAAGGATTAAACTGCATCAGGGGAGTGGGAAGTAGGGAGATGGTTTTATCTCTGGATATATCACTGATGAGACCAATCTTGTATACTGTGTTCTTGTCCATGTTTTGAAAAATTACTGAAAAATTGGTGAGGGGGCAGATTAAGAGCTGAAAATGTGATCTAAGAATTGAAGAAAAATGCTGCTAAGTGAGACTTAAACAGCTCAATCTGTTTATCCTATCAAAAAGATTGACTTGATTACAGCGTACCTCTATGGAGAAAAAATATGAATTCTGAAGAGCTCTTTAATCTAGCAGAGAATAGCATAACAAGAAGCTGTGATAGAAGCTGAAGTCAGACAAATTCAAATGAAGCACTCTATTTCTCTTCTTAAATTGACAGTATGACACTGGAACAAGCTCATGAGGGCAATAAGAAATTTTTAATGTTTTTATATCTTCCAACCAGGAAAATTACTTTTCTGAAAGACGGGTTTTAGCCAAGTGCAGGTTACTAACCTCTGTGCTTTTACATGTATGAGATTTAATGACATAGGAGAAAGAGGAGATCAGACCATATGACTAAGAGGTTCTTTGCAGTCTTACTTCATTATTTCTTCTTATACTAAGCAATTATAAAAAAGGGTGGCTGTTGGTGAGCATTTGCCCAATATTATATTTTTTTAACAGCTGACTGCAATCAATGTCTGTGAAAAAGATGACTTTTCTGAGCATGTAGGATTTTAAATGATCACAAAACATGAGGCATTCTTGGCAAGCAGAGTATGAAGTATCAAAAGACAATTGACATTAGTCTCCTATTTTCATTTGTCAGTGCACTAAGCTGACTATATTTCAATTCATGTAGGTCACAAAGGAGCTCAGAACAATTTAAGGAGAAGCTAACAGAAATACAGAAGCATGAACCTACTAAAAACACAGGCCATCAGACTTAAATGATGTGCAATTAAACAGCAAGCTTTGAAACTCTGGCAGACAAACCAGTTAACTAATTCTATATGCAATATTACACTAATAAATATACATCCGTTTTAAAAATTTATGTTTCTTGCCTACCTTGTGCATAAATGAATCAAGTTACCTCACCTGAAGCATAATGAGCTGTGGAATGCAATGAAGACTAAAAGGTTTGACACCAACAAGTAATACCTAGCTCTCTGAAAGCAGCCAGAACCACACAACTGAATTGTGTTGCACATAAACTATTGAGAACTACATTTAAACATTAATGAATTAAATTGTTGTATTTGCTAGGAACTTGCATCTTCCATTTTCTACTCACAAAGTTGATATGGCAACATTAACCTTAAAGCCCTTTCTATTGTCATCATTTGATCCCCTCCCTGAAGTTTGTTACATGAAGAAACAACTTTTTCATCAAGTATACAACCTCCTATAAACTACACAGATAACCAATGGCCTCAAACAAGTTTTTCAAACAAGAAAACAATATTAACCAAAAAGGACTCAAATGTATTTGCCTAATTTGGTATGCAAACCTTAACACCCTATCGATGGTTCTGACTTCTGAATTTAGTTAGAAAAATCCCATGTCCTTTAGAAGATGTTACAGATAGAAGCTTTCAAAATCAGTAGATACTTCTGCAAATCTAACCTGGAAGCTCCATAAAGAAGCATCTTTGCTCCTTGTATTTTTCCCAGAACAGACTGTGGACTCCATTTTTAGAAATACATAGTATTCCCAACTCTAAATGGGGTAAACAAAACCCACAGGATTACTGCTGTTCCGAAAATCAGATCCTAGGGCATTAAAAATTGAAGTGTCATGGTTACCTCTGTTGGTATCAGTATCACCTATGGAACTCAAACATTAGTAGTCTGGTGCAGGTAACTGAGACAGGAAAAAAAAAGCATTAAGAGGTTGAAGGGCATTCATTACCTTTTTGATGCCCAGAGGCATAATGTTGCTTTTCTACTGGAGGCCAACCAAAGGTGAAGGCTGATCATTCTATACAGTGAAGTGAAGAACTAGTTAGACTCTCAAGTTTCAACATGTGATGCCTTCAAAGGAACAATATTACATTAGCTGGCTGGCAAAACACATTGTTCGGAACATCAAGGCTTGAAAAAACAAAACATCAATAGGTGAATCTCAGACCCTAAAGGCATCAGCAAGGACAACAAAGTCAGCAGTAAGAATATTGAATTCAAGCAGCAAAATATGGCTACAGGACACTCTCCAGAGATATTAGGGAATATTATTCAGCGTATCAGAGGTGATCAAATGTAATTTTCTTGAGACACACACATCTTCTTCTGGATGTAGCATCTTCAGAGATCCAGAGATCATACATGCTACGAAGAGTGCAGGTGGAAGAAGGCAC